CTTGAAGATTCTCTCCCTCTGCCCCTCTCCCTACATGCACACTATATCCCCCTCAAATAAATGAATCTTTAAAAATTTTAAAAAATAAAACATGCATTATTAAGTACCTTCTTTAAAAGGTATATGAAACTTCTTAATTTGTGGACTGGATCATCAATCCAGAAATCAATGAGATCCAGTGTCTGGCCATTCTCTTTTCATCACTTGCTGTGTTTATACACTGGCATAAGGCCTCTGGCATTCTGGGACAGAGCAAATTACCAATGTGCAGAAAACATAAAGTCACTTTTTTGCTTTTACAGACCTTGCCAAACATTTAAAAACTTATATGCTGTGCATCAGTAGTCTTTCTCTGGTTCTCATAAAGTAGTTTTTACAAAAAGTGAAAACATTACTCATAAGCAACTACAAAGAATATAAAACAAGCTTAGTAGATTAAAAACATTAAACATTTACTTTATGTAGAAGTAAATGACTATATGTTATGTACCTTCCTCACAGCTGACTCTTGCATTGAACAAATTTCAGACGTAATGTTCCCTCAAAAAATAATCAACATTCCCAACCCCTTTATTAAAATGTCCAGATATATTTTTAGGTTAATGTACAAATGAAATAAGTTATAAAGTTATTATCAGCAAAGCATGTGATCCTCAAATAGTTTTTTTTTTATTATTTTAAAAGAAAGGATTTGAAACTACTTTCAAAGTGATACAAACCCTTATATATCTAAACTGGGATTTTGGGATCCCTGGGTGGCGCAGCGGTTTGGCGCCTGCCTTTGGCCCAGGGCACGATCCTGGAGACCCGGGATCGAATCCCACGTCGGGCTCCTGGTGCATGGAGCCTGCTTCTCCATCTGCCTGTGTCTCTGCCTCTCTCTCAATCTCTCTCTGTGTGACTATCATAAATAAATAAAAAAAATAAATAAATAAACTGGGATTTTAGTTTCCATGTTCTAAATTTTAAAACACTGAGGATCCCTTACTAGATTTATTACCTGGGATCTGATTCTTATTCCATGCCTGCTTGTTTAAAAATTGTCTAACATTATTTAAACAGAATTATCTCTTTCAAGCCACACACTGAATCCACATGTCTCTTTTATTTCAAAATGTTATGTCACCTAACAGAAGATCTACTTTAACCCACATGTTGAATCTAAATAGCATGTCTTTATCATGAGTTCTAAGAGGCCAAAGTATTACTGAATGGGTTATTTCCTTGAACCTATTACTGGCATTCTAGAGCTGTTTGGTGTTTGCCTTTCTGTTCCATCTTCTAGAAAGAACAAAATTATAGCTCTCAAAAGAGCCATTTTTTTATTATACCAACCGCAGCTGGCATTTTTCTTAATACCAGATACAATACTTTGCTGGCCTAAATTACTGCATTCTGAGCAGGGTTAGAAAGGGTCTATGAGGGATACCAATGAGAAAGAAACCAGGCTTTAAAGAATTCTTTATACAAGGCAGGTGGAGAAACTGATTTGGGCTTATCTGTGTGACCTAGCCAGAAAACCTTTCAAACAATGCCCTGCTTTTCTAACTTTTTTTTTTTTTTTTTAAGATTTTATTTATTTATTCAGAAGAGACACAGAGAGAGGCAGAGACATAGGCAGAAGGAGAAGCAGGCTTCATTCTGGGAGTCTGATGTGGGACTCAATCCCAGGACCCTGGGATCGCGACCTGAGCCAAAGGCAGATGCTCAACTACTGAGCCACCCAGGTGCCCCCCTGCTTTTTCTAACTTCACCAAGATAGAATTATTTGCAAGAATTCTGCATGCAGATTTTTTTGTTACAATTCTACCAAAAATTTCAAGTCCATTAAATACAAATTCTGCAACGACTGTTTTGAAAAACCAAAGGTATGTTTAGATTAGTCAGAGCTGCCATGGATCTCCAGATACTGTCCTCAGGTGAAGTGCCAATACAATGACCTTCAGTGTAATGGAATTTCATGCTAGCTAAAACAACGTGTGACACTCCCAGTTGCCAACAGGAGTGCAGGCGCTGCTTTGTCCCCTTCTCAGTAACTATGAGGCTCCAAGAGGTATTTCTTCACCTTTCACACAACTGTTACTCAGTGCTTCTGCTATAGATAACAACAAAAGACTCTGTAAACTGAACAGTCGCACTAGATGTTGACTGGAGAAGAAGAAAGAAAGAATTTCTTCAGGCAGTTAATCAGTTTATACACCTATACTGATTGTTGGCTAAGCTTTTTAGTCAAATGGTTTTGTTCTGCAAAGCTGGATCTAGTGTCTTTTTTGTATGTTTTTTAGAGGATTATTTTGAATGCAACTTTAAAACCTAATTATTTCATATTTCCAAAGTACCAGACCATAAAATGGTATCAATTCTAACAGGCAAAATAATCTAACATGAAAAATAATTTTATGCTCTTAGAAGTGGGTGACCTTTACTAACTCATGTTGTTTCTTGAAAAATGAGATTGATTTTAAGTGAGTATGACAACTATTTATCGATAGCTAAAATATCCAAACCAAATGCTATTTATTTCTATTTTTAAAAGTTTATCATTTTCACTTTTTAAACAGTAATAGCAAGAAACACTTCTCTGAACTTTGCCAAGCTGTAATATTAACCTTTGTCCAAATGCCCTGAAAGTAATTCACATGCAGCAACCTAAAGCCGGCACTTAGGAACTGAGTTCTGCCCTCATTTGGCTATAGTTTTAGATATTCAAGAATGGATGCCTTGTGTGCCTGTGTGTGCATGAGCCCCCCCGTCCCCCCAAACATTGGCCTACAGGTTTCCTAGGACTAATTAAAAGTTAAATGAAAACTGAGCAGTGTGAACAGAAAAGTTTCAATTGACAAGACTTGGTAAATACTGTAAAGGCTATAAATGTGTTAACATATGCAAAGAGTATATTAAATATATTATTCCAAATTATCACTGATAAATCATCTAATAGTTGAATAAGTTCATATTTCCAGATTAAAAAATCTCTCATTCTTCCCTATCTCAACCCCAAACAGTGTGCATATACATAAGACTTACACCTTTATTTGCTTCATTAAAAAAAAAAAAAAAAAATCTGCCAAACAGCTAAGCCATTGTTCTCACATAACTTCTTCTGAGGTGGCATGAAAACCACATTCCTGAGCATGGCATAATCATAGTGTCTGACCCCCCAAGAACCATTAAGTCAAATTCATTTACCCCCAGAGGGCTACACACTATTGTACCCTTTCCACTTTCTAGCCACCTATGAACAATGGAGAGTAATTGCAACTGTCACGGGCAGTCAGTAGAAAAAGTAAGCCAGAGATATTTTCCCAGTTTTCTGCCAAACCTATCCAAGCACCTAATAACCATGCCCCCAACAGAAGAAAGACCCACAGTTGCTTTTAAAATGCATCAGAAAACAGCTTTTTGAACAGTACCAGAGGACAATAACCAAACTTATGCTCTGAATGTGAAGCTTAAAAAACTCAAAATTAAAGACGGAAACTTCTTTTGACTGTAGTATAGCTTCCTGAACTAACCCCACAGGCAAGCCTGAAAGGAGAGTGGAGCTGCTTTCCTCCAAGCTTATCATCACTGCTGTTGCTGCTTTTAAGTTTGACTTGTAAAGAAAACAAGGGAGGAAAAATGTCTGTCCTCCAATGGAATGAGATCACAAGGCTTGGAACAGGCAGTCTTCTCTGCTCTACTCTCAGTTATCACCTAGGTCAGAGGAGAATAAAGAACCTTGGAGAACACATCCTATATCTCGGGTACAAATGGGTTAAACTCCAACACAATAATATAAATGATCTGCTGCCTCGGAAAATAACATTCTCCGTTCTCTTTCAACTTGGCCTTCAAGCTCTTTAAGGCATATTAATTATTATCTGTTTGAATTTGACTCCATTAAAGATTTTGGTTACTGAATGTATTGATTGGCACCCATTCATTCTCCCACCACCAAATCATACTTAATCATAACCTGGATATATGTAACTTTCAAAGAGAATGGATAAAAAAGTGAAATAGTCCAGCATTTTCTGGAAGTTTCCAAATGCTGAGATGCTAGTGTCCTGCCTTTTGGCAGAATGCTCCAATGCAGTAGAGCCATAAGAAAGACAATTGCCTTTTTCATTGGGAGAACACGTGCACATACATACATATGCAAAAAAGTTATTTATACACATATTTCTACATGTATATTAATATAAATCTGCTGATATTTTAAATATATATTCAGCTTCTACCAAAAAATATAGAGTGATACATAACTAAATATTTTAATATTGATGAATAAGTATTTTTTCTCAAAATTAATCCTTTAGAACTCAGAATCAAGTGTGCTATTGGCAACAAACAGAAAGCCATAGATTGCCTACTATGCCCTAAGAAAATACACTTTAAAATTAACTGAAATGACCATTTAATTCTATTTTTGTATGAGAAATTAAGCCCTCTCTCACTGTTAATAGTAAAAGTTTATTGAGATATGAATATTCAGTATCATGAAGTCCATATAGACTTTTTCTCTTAGTTGTATGTAATGTCTGATTCAAATAGAACCAAACCAAAAATGTTGCTCCTGTTAGTACAATACAACCTTTTATTAAGCTTTCTCCATTTATCATTTCTGGTTTTATATCTAGGGTATGTACATTCACACTTCTAATATGTAGAATGTATAAAATCATCTCGTAATAGGCAGTTTGTAATCCTGATATAGATATATCCCTACTTACAAGGTAAATCATTTATTTATTTTTTTTAATCATGAAAACCACAGCCTTTTGAAGATACGGTGGGGTTATTCTGTTAAAATAACATTCCATTTATCTAAAGGCACCAACAAAGAGAAAATAAGAATCCCGATAAATCCACTTTCAAACTAGGAAGAAAAACAACAAAAACAGAGAATGCATGAGGCAGAGGGGGTTCGGGAGAGAAGCACTTTATCACAGTTAATATTTCAACATATTAACTTCATTTTCATACATTTTGGATCAAAATAATTGCATATATATTACCTTTTATTTCACCAAAGTTCCCTGATCCCATTGCAAGAAGTTTGTCTTTCCAGTCCTTTGAGAGTAGCTTTTCAATACTGGGGGTTTCTAAGTAAAGAAAAAAAAATGTAAGCAAATCAACATGACTATCTTTACAATGAAGCTCATTAAAAGTCTATCTGCTAAAAATAAGGCCATCCCTATCCGGGCCCCAGTTCATAATGACTTCATCAACAAACTGATAACAGGGGGGAAAAAAAGAATGTGTTTTATCACCTGCTGTTTCAAAATCATTAGCTTTTTCCTCTTGCGGAACAAAGCCGTACTAATTCTTTATGACAATGGGTACATATAAACCTGCAGTTCATTGTTTTTCAATTTGGTGAACGAATTCCTGCTATAATAGATGCTTGTCAATTTCAGGGTGTTAGTCTGCAGTCAAAAAATAATTATGTTGATAAAATGCAGAGCAAAAAAAAAAAAAGGCAAAGAATTAGCTCTTAAATCTGCTACATGTAATTATATCCCTCTGTGTGTTTACAATTACATCCACTTTATAATATGTGTTTAACATCGTATGGTGGTAAGCACACTGTGGAAAGATTTGCCAGTACCGTGAACATTAAAAAAAAAAAAAAAAAAAAAAGTTGGTATAAAAGAAGCTTTACAAAGATTACAAAATCTAGAAAAGTGAGTAATGCCTATAATGGAAACCTATTATTTGCTTATTTCGGATTTGTCTCACATTCTTTAAAAAGCCCAGTATTGAGACAGGGCACATATATTTGAAAGAGCAAGGTTATGCTTTAGTCTGATATTTGTTTCTATATATCTCATGGTTTTTGACCTCTTCTTTTGTGTTGAATTTTAATGTATAAGTAAACATAAATGCTAATAAAACTCCCAAACATTAAACTCAATTCCAAACAATGTAATTGTATATTCTTGTCAGCATTTAGATGGGTACACAATTACAATGGCTTTCAATCCCACGATTAGCACTGCATTCAGTTAGAAAATGGAGTGTACTAAAAGATAAGTGTCCCAGTATGCTCCATCTAAATAACAATACCCACACTTATTATCTGGATCTAAGACATACACTGCCATTCTCCACATTGGTGTTTATGTGTATTTGTGTTTGTTCAGACATTTGTTTACCCCCTACTAGGAGCATAAAGGGAGTACATGTTAACTTATCAAAGGGACCGTCTGGCCTACAGACCATAAGATTATTAGAAACTGGTTCATTTTCCCCACAGTAAAATGCATTTTAAGGCATCATCACCATCTTTGGCTAATGCTATCTACTTTTCTCAGGTCTCCATCTTACAGCTATTGGCTATCAGAGTCACAAAGCCTGTGAGTTTTCAACAAAGTGGAGGTGAAATTTCCTTGGAAAAACTGTGAAAATATGGAATGTCTTTTTTTTTTTTTCAGATGTCAAAAACTTCTGTAAAATAAAATGGTGAAAAGCTCTGAATGATTACTGCTTAACATAATCTATAGTCTATACATATGCTGCAAATACACACACATACACATATGCACCTATCACAATTACTGTGTACACATTTACATTTACTAAGGAATTTACGATGGAATGTGTAAGATATATTTTTTCCCTTTGTAACAAAATATTTCTAATTCTTGCATTTTAAGGAAGAAAGAGCCTAAGAAATTAATTTTACCTTTTCTTAAAATATCCCTATTTCTGTTCCATACTGGTTTTGAAAATGGTAATGACAATTCTGAGTAATAAGATGAATTAAACCTCTTCTTACTGTAATCAATATTTCTGTTCATTGAGGCTTAAAAAGTAACTTTAAAATACTTCTGCAAGGATTTCCAATGTTTCTGCATTCCCAGTAAACACTTCATGAGCGAAATCATTTTTTAAACCTTATCAGAGTAGGTCAAACAAACACCACTGTTTCTTTTTTCCAGCACTCCACAAAAATTCTTGAGTAGCATGTAAACAGGGCACAGCCAATACGGTATTTGCAATAGAGTACTGTCAGTCATTAAAAGCTAACAAACCTTTGCAAAGCAGGAATGCAGCAATAGAAATCCATTGTGCACTAACAATAGGCCCCTGAACCTCCCGGCACCAAAAGCAGACCATTTTACTTTTAAGGCTATTGTCTGCAAAGTCCATGACAAAGCTTTTCCCCTGCAGCTAGACAAAATATTCACTGTAGTGTGCTCATAAAGAAACAGAAGTCTTCTGTCTAAGTTGCAGAGTTAAAGTAACAGCCGCCAGATTTCTGAAACCTGCAGAACATTCCTGGCCTCTTTATTAACTTACATAAAGATATAAGGCTCCTATACAAAGCCACTCCCCCCCCCCCCAAGTACCTGACTTTGAATATCCACAACAGAAAAATGAATACCTTCTTTAAGACCAAGTAATTTGGAAGTTGTAAAATCAGAAACATATCTAACTCGGGGTTGTCAAGTCTGTGGATGAATAAAGACACTAATATTTGCAATTTGGATGAGGTATATACTTTAAATTCAGATTCAATAAACATTTATTGAGCAACCTATGTGCCAGGAACTATGCTTGATGCTTTTACCTGTCTGTATTCTCTCATTTAATCAGAGCAAATACCTGACGACTCAGACTGTGTTATTATAACCATAATACAGTTTAAAAACAAAAGCAAAAAGAAAAAAAAAAGGCACTTGTCTGAGGTTTCACAAAATGTAATGGGCAGAGTTGACTTTTGAAGTCAGGTTTTGTTTTGGTTTGTTTTGTATTTTTTGCCTACAAATTCTGAACTCTCTTGTCAACAATGAAATGATAATGATAGCTACTATTTTGAGGGCTAAGTGCTAAGCAGTGTACCAGGTCCTTTACATGTGGTATCTCAAACTTCTCATAATAATCTTCTGAATTAGGTATTTCCCTAAGCTTTGGTTTCTTAAGTGGTAAACAAATGCCTCAATATCTAATTCAGAAGATTATTTTGAGAAGTTGCCCATGGGGAGCTTAAGTTCAACCTACTGGATCCCAATGTTAGGGGGACCAAAAGCATATCATTTCACCCACTTCACCTCTCTATCTGAACTACTATACAATAAAGAGCTTTAAGGAAATCCACATCCAGTATTCCTCCAATGGCTAGTGTTCTACTTTTTCTCCAGTTGTATTTCATGAAGAAGTGGTTAAGAAATGCTTTCACAATGGATCCTAATAATGATGGTTAATGATGAGTTCACAACGGTCCTACTGAACTCAATGAATGCACAGCTTACAATGACTGAATTTCTCTGAAAATGGTAAAGAACCGAGAGAATATAAATGACTAGAACTGTAAAAGACCAAATGGCAAAATCCCAATATTTATAATACACCTGTTCATTAAATGTGTGAATGTGATTAAAGTGAAATTTGACACAATTATATAAGTGTTGCTTCAGTGTTTATGGACCAAAAAAGATAGTAGTTATCGATTAAATATTCCATTTTCTAACATGAGATGTTATTTTTTAAAATATGTGTAGAGATGTATTTTATACTGTGAGTATGTATAGAATGTTTATGGACATCTTTATTTTCCAAAAGTTCAAATTCTGGATTACCCATTATTTTCACATTAAGATGTGCCACAGTTTTACTATAAGCCCTTTAAAGATTCTCCTGAGAGTTCTCTCCAACACTGAAGTATCACAATTACCACTGAAATAAAAACTAGTACTCCCTATGTTAAAATAAGTGTGAGAGATAATAGTAGCTCTTATTATTTGCATAGCATTTCAGTTTATATAATTGCTGTCAGATACAACAATGTTGTCAATGAATGGTATGCATTGTTATTACATCCGTTTTGCAGATGAGAAAACTAAGGCTCAGGGGGATGCTTTACCCAGCATCAGCTAGCCAGAAAGTACAACAGAGGGATACACAATCAGGGCCTCTTAATTCAGGGATCTGTTTCTTTAGGGGAAAGATAAATTCGTACATATTTTAAAATAAAAAATAAAATAAATGGTAAGAAATAAGTGATAAGATAAATTAGAGGGTGATGACATATATCAATCTATTAATATTAAGATGACTCTAATTGGATTACTTTTGTCTCTTTCTGCCATCAGGACCCTTTTGATTGTTTGCTTGATTTTCCCTCCTCACCCTTGCCTCTTTTGCTCACATATGTTTCTTCACATCAATGCCTATGGCAATCCCCACCAGTGAATGGCCCCCCCAACTGTGCCAGCCATTGTTACAACAGCATCCTGCCTCTTTAGGGCCTGTTCATTCCCTATAACTCTCACTCCTTTTTCCCTTCAGTGCCAAACACTCTTAAGACTGACTCCCTCATCTGGAACAATGAGACCTAGAGACTCATGCCAACATATTGTAATTCTCCAACAAGCTGCCAGTGCCAAGAATTAAACCACATTCGCTCCAGTGCAGTAGCTTTACACACAAGCTCAGGTTTTTGCTTTGTGTTTATGTAGGTTTTTTTCCTTAATCTCCCTTAAGCTGCAGTGGCAGAGCTCATTGAAAAATTGAACAAGCAAAAAATATGTATATGTAATATCTGACTTTTTAAACAAAGTCCCCAGAATTAGGTCTTACCAAATCTACCTCTGTGTATACTTTAATTTTGTAGCTTAAACTGAGCTGTGTTATTCATGACATGTGATAGGATGCACATTTAGGGATGGGAGTTGTCTTTTGGAAGGAACAACAGTATGTCTAAACTTCAAAATATAGCAATACCTCTTCAAAGTCAAGAAGTAAAAGCATATGAGGATTATTCACATAATAGAATCAGAATGTTAAATGTGGAAGGATCTTTAGATATCATTTAGATAAGCATTTCATAAAAGTAATCTACTAAGTATAACACATTGGACATAAATGGTACACAAATCCTTTGGTTACATAAAATCAAGACAAAATAAGCATTCCATTGTCATGTTAATCTAATTACATTACACAAATTTACATTTTGTTTCTACAAGATTTAGATCTATTTATGGGCTAAGAGACTGTCAATCTTTAAGTGAGTTATGGATTACATAGTATTATTTAAATATTTAACCAAGAAAATCAGTGTTGGGAGAGGACTGTTTCATTTAATACAATTTGGGAA